TTTCTACTCCATCTTATTGTAACTCAAATCGTGAACATGTTTTTTTTTCTCCTGCCATTCAACTATCAGAAAGTTTGTATGTTGCTGATGGCGAACCTATACACACATGGCACATGTGACATGCCATGGCATTTTTGATAATTATGCCTAAAGAATGAAAATGTGAATGTTGTCTATTTTCATGTGGTCTACAGACCTTTTGGAATCTCATGAGAAATCTCTGGAGCCTCAAAAAAGAATGGGGTGTGCTTTCCTGCTCTTTTCGGAATTTTTTCGCAATTTCTCCAAAATTTCCAGGTCTCGTACGACCCAGAGCTGCCTTGACCTTTTTTTTTTCTCAGACTAAGTCAAATGGAAAGTTATTTACAATTATGCAAGTTTTTAATGCATTTATTAAATTTATATGCTGCCCATCCAAAGCAACCCTATTTATTGGTTTGTTTGTATCCTGCTTTTATTATTTTTACAAATAACTCAAGGTGGTGAATATATCTAGCAACAACAATTCTGTGAGGTAGATTGGGCTGAGAGAGTATGACTGGTCCAAAGTCACTGGCTTTCATGGCTAAGGTGGGATTTGAATTCAAGGGTCTCTTTCTAGCCTGTGCCTTAACCACTAGACTAAACTGACTTTGCTATGAATTGTTTCTCTTTTGTCGGTATGTGCTGCGTCTATTCTGAATTTCTGACACACTTTTGGACTCAAAATGCACGCTGATGTATTCCCCACCATACAGTCAGAGCTGAAGAAGCTTCTTGGATGAGAAGCAAAATGTCTTCAAAAGAAAAAACAAGAAAGTCCAGTTGCCTCTTGAAAAGCACAATTTTGGATGGACACTTTTGACTGGTATGGGAGTAGGAATGGATTTCCAAAGGAAAAATAGCAGACTATAGGAACCAGGAGCACTACTCAGGTGACCCCAAGGACACAAATAAACCTCCAAGTGCCTCAATGACCCTCAAAAAGGATGCACGTTACCAACTGTCTGCAAGGAATATAAATCCTTCCAAACCCCACCATCCAGTCAGAGCTGAAGAAGCTTCTTGGATGAGAAGCGAAATATCTTCAAAACCAAAAACAAGAAAGTCCAGTTGCCTCCTGAAAAAGCACCTTTGGGACTATCACTGATGTATGTTGATGTTTTAACAGGCACGTGCATTCTGGTATGTGCAACTAAGTACAGAACAGGTGCAAAATCTTTTGTCCTTCAGAGGTTGGGATAGTCACTCTCGTAATCCCTTCATGTTAGCCGTGTTAACTTTTCCTGGCTACTGATAAAATATACAACATTTGGAAGACATCGTTTTTCTACCCAAAGCATCTTGCAACAATCCTTCTGATTGCGGGGAGGGGAATGATTAACAAAATTATATAGCGACTGAGAACAAAGTTCATAAAACTCTCCTCTGAATATAGATTAGAGCCCTCTACCAATTAGGAAAACATTTATGATCTCACCTACATCTGCTGAACGTGATTCATGCTAGTTACAGAATGAAATGAGAGACATAAATGAACATAAAAACAGAGTTCCATGCTGTCCTTCAAACAAGCCTTTGCTACTTTAAGTAAAGGAAAACTTTTGGAAATAAAATATATTCCTATTTACATGAGAAAATTATGTGGCTGTTGATTATATATCGTCTTCAGGTTATCTGGAAGTTTATCTACAAACTTTGCTGGCTCCTTTCCTATAAGATTTGCGGCTAAATATATTTTGAACATAATCTTTGGCAATATTTGAAATGTTATACACAATATATACTGTGGATGAATTTTTTTTATAACCACTAATTCAGTCAGAGATCTTCTTTCCAGTTAAAACCCTCAGTGTTCACATCAAGTGGTTTATTTTTCATGCAGCTAAGAAACAAAAAAATAATTAATATTAAAATCAAACTCTGAACTAAAGTCAGGTCCACTTTTCTAGACAATTATACAGTATGTACAATGTTACTGAATCCTAAGATAATGAACTCCAGTGATAGATAATAAGCTGTAACTTCATTATTATTTTATTCAAATACAGCTAAATACTTGGAATCTTTCCATCACTGGAATCTCTACAGCAATGCAAGCAGAAAGGTACAGAAAATCACTGTAGGGCAGGGGTGTCAAACTCGATTTCATTGAGGGCCACATCAGGGTTGTGTTTGACCTTGGGGGGCAGGGTGGGTGTGGCCAGCTTGATGTCACTCGTGTCGAGGTGCCTGTGGTACCCCAAGCTCTCTGCCAGTGAAAACAGAGCTCAAGAGGGCCTCCTGCAACCCTCTGCCAGTGAAAATGGAGCTCGACAAGAATTGCAATATGGGCAAAAGATAAATATATAGGTATTCCTCGACTTACAACTTTTCATTTAGCAACCGTTCAAAGTTACAATGGCATTGGGGAAAAAAAGTGACTTACAACCAGTCCTCACAGCATCCCCCTGGTCATGTGAACAAAATTTGGGAGCTTGGCACATATTTGTGCAACTGGTATATATTTGCACAGGCTAGGGTCATGTGATCACTACATGTGACCATCCCAACCTGCTACCAACAAGCAAAGTCAGTGGGGGAAGTCCAGGTCGCTTAATGATGATGTGATTCACTTTATTGCAATGATTTGCTTAACAATCCTGGCAAAAGAGGTCTTAAAATCACTCCCTTAACAGAAATTCTGGTCCCAAATAGCTACTCAGAGTCACTCAACTTTTAGATGGGTGGCATATAAATTTAATAAATAAATAAAATTGTAGCCGTAAATTGAGCATTATCTGTACTCGAAGGTTTTGATTACTCAGACAAAGAAAAAAAAATAGGCCAATGGTCAGGATGAGAACCACATCTTTCCTTATATGGATGTGATTATTTTTGGAAGGTTTCTGGTATGTCTCCCAATCTGACTTTTTTGGGGGGATCTGCACTTAGGCTTTGGAACTCTCATTGGCGGAAGGCCCACTTCAACTCCTTGCTAACAATCTTCTTTACGTCAGAAACAATCTTCCAGAAGTTGTGAAGATGTTTCTTTTGGGAACAGTCTTTTTTCAGACTCTTGTTTTTATCAAATTGCTGTTCTGACTTTGTTAATGGCTGCATTCATGCAGCACATCTAGCCAGGATCCTGATATAGACATTTTCCTGGGCCTGTGCAATACAATGAAATATAAATTAACCAAGGGTTTCACACACAATGCATTAAACCACACTATTTTTTAAAAAATCCAGATAGATAATAAAGTTTACCATGCTGGGCATATGCAGCTGCTACATCGTTAGCTAATTGGTTAACATGTGTGGTGTCAATACAGCTGCTATGTTTTGTTTTCTCTGTGACTATTTGTTGCTTTATATTTCTATATTTTGCTGTCTGATGTTCAGAGCTTTGTGGAAGGATAGGCAAGATGTAGATAATTTAAATAAACAAATAAATATAAAATACTGTAGGTTTTAAATTTGAAAGCAGAATGGTTATATGCATAGTAGTTACCCCCAAACCATAATCTTTCACGAAAAAAAGACCCCGTTTCTGTCATGCTGTATGTTTTCTTCCCTGTATCTTACCACATTTTTATTGCTGCACTCTCCAACCATAGCCCTTAGGCTAGTGCTGAAGATTAATGCAGATTGATAGAGAAACAGATATAGATATAAACAGACAGCTACATTTCACACCAAATAGTTTGAGCTTCCTTGTTCACACTGAAAGATGTATCGTTTATATGTGGCAGCCTTCTGGAATAAAGTCAAACCATCACTTTCCCCTCAATTTATCCTTTAAGTCAGGAAAGGAAAACCATTTCTCCAATATAATGAGACAAAGGAGCCGAAGACTGCTTCAATTTGGCTTGGCCTGTCAGCCATCACAGGCAGGGCCCCTAGAAAATACAACAAGTTCTCAGGTGTGCTGAACCTGTAAATGAGCTCACCGAACATTCAGTCTGGTGAAAAAAAGCCCATCACAAAAAGGAGCTCCATAAATTCACCGAATTGGAAAAGCCAGTTTCCCTGAGAAATTTAGCTACTGGATTTCGAAGTAAGAAGATGCCATTACAGGGTGATGGTGGAGGAAGGATGTTGAGAAGAGAAGCACTGACAATGTTGATTAATAATGTAGAAAGTTAGCACCCACCCCTCTCCTAGAAGAATGAAACCTTCTAGGAAATATTAAAAAGGGAAAATATTATATTTCCCTGGATGAAGAAAAGGAGAAACATGTTTTAAAGACAAAGCAGTTCCCTGCAGCCCCCTTCAGCTCCAGGGTGATGGGATTAAGACATGGCCCTCAGGAAATGATAGGATTACCCATCTCACCACATGGCACCTGGGAAGATTGCATCAGCCAGCACTTAGGTGAAGCCATGTGGTCCAGACAAAGTCTACAAAGTTAGCTAAGACCCCGCCCCTCGGAGTCTAACAACCAATGGGATACAGTTCTTACACAGGAACAGGAAACACTAAGGTAGGGCCCAACAGAGGGTATAAAACCAAGGGATTCTCAGCATCTCTTTCCTTTTCGCCCAGGAGCTCTGAGGCATGTGGTCCTGTACACCATTAAACCTTCTTTCCAAGCAACTTCCATGAATCCAGTGTCTTTTTCCCCACTTGGAACTGAACCCAGAAGGATATATTTTTTCTGTTGCAACCAAATTTAAAGTTTTCCTCCAGTTTAACTGGCCTGTTAATATTCTGCAAACCTGAGCAATGTGCTGAGCAATAGCAAGGGAACTTTTATGATAAATGTGCTCTCCAATCTGTGCACCAGTCAGGCAGCTATAAAAATCAGAATAATTCATGCAAAGTTTTCCACTATGTTTCTAAAAACACTTATTTACATTTCAAATTGTGGCGCAGACCATATGAAATATCCTTCATTTAGACAGGTGTAAGTGAGAAAACAGATGCGTTCATTAAGCGGGGAACAATTCAACAAACAATAACAACAACAGTAATCATGGAAGGGGGATGGGAGAACTTTACTACTTGGATTAAAGACTATGAGGCAGGAAACAACTTACCTGAAAAAACACAGCCATGGTTCCTATGATCCTTTTTTCTTGTATGGCTGTCCCGAAGCTGTCAAAGTCATCGGGATTGTAGAAATAAATCTGCATCTGTGAAAAAGGAGCAAAAGGCATTTTTTGAGAATCTGAAGGCAAGGTAACACGTTGCTTTTGACAATCCAGGAGACAAAAGATGAAATCTCTGGCTTTGTCATGCAGTTCACTGACTAAATCTCATTCTCTTTCTCTCTTGGGCTACCTCACCAATGTTATTTTATGCTTACTGTTACTTACAGGGCTAGGAGCAGTGGTGGGATTCAATTTTTTTTACTACTGGTTCTGTGGGCGTGGCTTGGTGGGCGTGGCAGGGGAAGAATATTGCAAAATCCCTATTCCCTCCCCACTCCTGGGGGAAGGATACTGTAAAATTTCTATTCCCTCCCCACCCCACTAGCCTGCTTTCCAGCTCCGTTCTCCTGTGCAGAGCAACAAAAGAAGACCCAGCCGATCAGCTGGGACTCGAGAGACAGAGAATATATGGGGCAGAGCCAGTCAGAGGTGGTATTTGCCGGTTCTCCGAACTACTCAAAATTTCCACTACCACTCCAGAACTGATAAGAACCTGCTGAATACCACCTCTGGCTAGGAGGATTAGATGAACTCCAAGAAGATGTATGAAAAAAAGAAGTTTTGATTTAAAACCCATTCCTCTTAATAATAATAGACGCTGAACTTTTGAGACCCAAGCTGTAACATCTAATTAACAATAGATACCCAAGAAGGTTCAAGATCCGATGAGAGATAACAGAGTCATGTGACAACTTGGAATCCTGAAGTTTCTTTTTGATAGATCCCTGCCTCATTCAGTCACTTACATCCTTCTCCCAGTTGCTGGCTGAATAACGTATTAATAATTTTAAGTACGTGTTTATATCTGATGAAGAGGCACACATGTCATTAACCAGTGATGGTGATAGAGAGTCCCTTGAATTTGAAATTTGTTTCCCTAACAAATTTCTACACAAGTTCATCTCTCTCTCTCTCTCTCTCTCTCTCTCTTTTGGAGGTAGGGTGGGGTTGAACAAACAGTTAGGAAAGCACTTCTATTTGAATGATCAAGCTGCATTTACATCTACAATGATACTTTTTAACAGTTGTGACAATTATTTAGTTTTTAGGTTAAACACTGCATCCTTTTTTCTCAACGGATTTCTCTCCTATAGAAAAAGAAATGCATGTGGACTATAATTAAGACAGAATGTTTGAACAGTTCTGCCTTCGGAGAAGGGAGACTGGTTGGTATCGAAGCACATTAGCCAGTCATAGTGATGTACGGCTTATACAAATATGAAGGCAATCAAACAACAGCTTTGCTCCATCTGCTTTTCTGCAGGAACTGTCCTAATTTATTAACTGAAAGGCACAACAAATTAGGGGCAGGCATGCACACAGCAACATGTGGGTGGCCTTCTGTGTTGAATAACCAGCATCTGTGCATTGACTGCTGTTCTACGATAATAAACCCTTGCTGTGTTAGCAACATCTGCATCTCAGTATTTCCTTCACCCGCATGGGTGCTTTCAGCGGGAGCATCACCTATATTTGGCAATTACCAACTAACTAAGTGTGCTAACTGCAAAAATGAGATCCTAATAATTGATGATGATGCTGGATTGGGATTTAGCAGATGCAAAAAAATAATCTTGCTGTGTATCAAGTTATTACAAATGTTTAGCATTATAGACAATTAGATAATTGATTTTCTGGTAGTCTGTAAATTGCTAAATGAAATACTATCTGTCTCTAGCTCCGATCTGTAAGCTAGCATCTGGCAATGGTTCTCCAGACTCTTTAGCCTTCCTTGTTGATGATCAGAATTGAAACTATTTGCCAGAAATCTATAATACACACACATACACCAAACACAGACTGAATCTATGAGCTTTAGGTATTCTAATATTGTCTTCCCTACTGATATTCCTACAGTTCTTAGCTAGTATGACCTGTGATGGTATTGGTTGGAGTTACAGGGCCTTCTCATCTGAAAGGCACCAGGTTCTACTACTCTGATCTCCAAATATGGCAAAGCTTTTCTTTGGAAACTCAAAACCATTCTTTCCTCCCAAGGTTCTTAGCTGGTATGAAAATAATTCAGCAGATAAGTTATGGACTGTATAGTAATATTCTAGTTTAATCCCCCTTTATAACATTCCCTATAATTTAGAATTACTTCCAACTATTTTAAAAAAAGTAAGGATATTCTCCTTTACCTTCTAATATTTCAGAATAATCTAGTTAATGAACTTTAAATTGATTCAATTTCTATAGCCCAAATTAGCACATTTTCATATCTAAGCTATATCCCGGAAGAGAAAAAGCATTCTGAATTCTGAAAATGGCACTAATAGGTATTTGTTCTATAGGCAACTGCTTGTGTTATATTCTGGAATCCAGTGATTCCAAGAAGATGGACTTTCAGTAAAATGAGGCCCTCCAAACAAAGCAAGATTACCTTTCAAGATGTAATGGTCTATGAGAATGTTCCTAACAAATAGGAGTAGATTGGGTAATGATTAGATGAAATGCAGTTAAGAAGCAATGCTGGTATAGCAACTGTCCCTTTGTTTCTTGGACTGTAAAGGTGATGGGAAAGAGATGCGTTTTAAGACTGGCAAGATTCTGTTACCTTTACAATAAAGGTAGTGCTAGAATTCATGGTAGTTCATGGTAGTTCATGTATGGACTACATCTAAGGACTATCATCAGATTTCAAGTGAGTGAAGTATTACAAGATGCCATTTTATGCCATCCTTATTATTATTATTTATTTCCTGAAGAAGAACATGGGAATAATACCTTGGCTTGGCAGAGCTAAAAGAGAAGTGTTAATTGTGTTGACTTCTTATAGATCATAGAGCATTCATAATCTCATACAAATTAACAGCCTCCAGGTTTGGGAAAAAGTCAATTTATAGGGGAAAAAATCACATGATATATTCATGCACCGACGTTCAAATTAAACACAATTTGGCTTTCAGTTGGATTGCCTTAATTCCATTTACCTGAAATCGATAAAACCATCAATAAAGATACATTACATTTTATTGCTCATTCACAATAAATTAAATACCAATGTTCCTTAAATTCATAAACCTATTTATAGCATATTGTGATAGAATAATAATATTCAAAAAATGCCAAACAATTTCAAATCAAGATTGATCATATTTTAAGGAAATTCATGTTTTTTATTTGTCTCCATAAATATAAAGATGGATTGTATCCAATATTTTATAAACATAATATTTGATATTAGGAGGTCTGCCTAGATGTGCATACATTTTTTGAAATGGTATACTGGAAGTATCTGAAACAAAATGTGTTTAAATATGACTGCTTCTGTCTTTTATCAATCAGATTAATTCTTGTACTAGAGTGATTAAAAATATTATTTTCCCTTCATTTATGAAGATTTTTCCTGAAATTCATCAGGAATTTCCTTTATCTTCTCTTTTCGGTAAATTGGCAATGTACTTATTGGGCTGCTTTATTGTACAAAGCAAAGATATTTCAGGTATAACTGTGACTCAGCATGAAGTGTTATGGATGACTTGTGTTTTATTAGTCTTACATTTATCTTCTATACAAAAATTTATTGATACTGTGAAGCAATTTGGAAATTTATCATATATTAATTGGAACAAATCCCAGCTATTCCTTGTAGGTTCTCATATCCCTACAGAAATGTGTAATAAATGGGAGATTCATTGTTTATTCGTTTATTTGTTGCATTTATCATGGGACTCTGAACAGTTTCACAACAATACAAATATGAAACAATTATAACCTTGCAAGTCAAAAGGCAGAAGATACACAAATCCAAAATGCAATTCACTAGAACAATAGGGGAAAAAACAGCCCCCAAATATCTGCTGAAAGGGCTGCATCTTCATTGTTTCTGGAAGGTGACTAGAATTGGGGACTAATCTAACTTTGTTGAGAGGCCAACCCAAGGGTAAAGCAGTGCGTATCTGTGCCTTGACATCCTACACCTCTTTCTCCAACAAGATCAAATAGTTGGGCTGATTCAAGAAAGTGAATGCAGTCCTGAAGATCAGTAAGTGCTAAGCCGTAAAGAGTATTATAAGTTAATACCATAGCTTTGAATTACACCCAGATGACAAAAGGAAGCCAATGCAGAATCTGTCATACAGATTCAACATGATCTGACTGATAGATATTACATAATAGACTAATGGCTCCATTTTGGATTGACCAAAGCTTTTGAGTGGCATTTAAAGGCAGCCCTATATAGTGCATTGCGGCAGTCTAATCCAGTGGTATCCAACCTTTCCACCTTTGCGGCCTGGGTGGGGGGAAGAGGGGAGGGTTCCATGTGAGCACACAGCTCTATTTGTGAAAGTTACTGACATGTGTGCCTACCATTCAAACAAATGGAGCTGCATGCATGCAGGGGTGGGATACTCCCAGTTCGGACCGGTTCAGGCAAACCCCTAGCTTTGACAATCAGCTGTCAGTGAACCAGTTCGCTCTGACCATTATGTGGGCCCACCTGCCTGCCCCTGCGCTGTACTGACCTATATCCTCTCAGCTGATTTGCGTGGCAAAGCGGATTGCTGCTCCTCACTGCGTTACTCCCCAGTAGTAACATAGTAGGTACATTTTTTTCGGAAAGCTGTTTATGTGCGCACAGTACAGTGTGTGATTGACAAACTGGTTGTTACACCGGCAGCATCCCATCACTGAGTGCATGTACTTACCCACTGCACACATAAGTGGAATTGTGCATGTGCAAGTGCTTACACACCACTTCCATAACCTGGTTATATCATTAATATCGTTGCTAATCATTTGACTATACTATTATTCATTCATGTTTTACAAAATAATCCATATTTTACTTGATTTATTTTATGACAATTCATATTATCATCCCAAATCTATCCTATAATTATATTGTAATGATAAAATAATATATATTATATATTATTATGATAAAAATAATACATCTTTATATATTCCTTATATTCTAAAAATCTACATATTTCATTACCATGTTTTATTTCTAACCATTGGTAAAATAAATCCAC